TTTGTGTATTTGATGAGATGACGTTAGTCCTTGCTAAAAAGCGGCCTTGAACCTAATGTAATGTGTAAACCTAATTTAATGTGTAACCTAATATATAAATGTGGAAACACCAGGTTCAAGAAGAAATACCATACGAATTATGGTAAACAATTTGTGCAAGAATTAGGATATGCTATGGCAAAACTCTCAAAAAAGAAAAGACGTTTTGAATAATTTTACCCCCCCCCCCCCCCCCCCCTTAAAAAAAAAAAAAAAAAACGAAAAGAGAGAAAAGAGGAGAGAGAAAAAGGAAAAATACAAATTCTGCTACGAGCATAGATGTTAATCAAATGACAAGAGGTCATGGAAGATTTCGCTAGTATTTTCATATATTTGGGCTTCGAGATAATGACAAATGGAAGTTATGCAATGTGATTGGTTGACGAGTATGCTGTCACTAGAGACACAGGAGGAGCAGACAAGTATTTCAAAACATTGAATTACAATATTGTAGCAGTAAAAAAGACTTAAGAGAAAATTATGGCAGGAATGGGTCAAAATAGAGACAACAGAATGAGTCAAAATAAGTATAATATACTAGTTTGTGCTAGTGTTTAGAGTGTAATTTAATTTTTGTTTCTAACACTCATTTTTTAGATGGTTGGTTTTGCTTTTCTGCTCTTATTTATCAGTGTTTGAAATGTAAAAAAACAGAGCTCTATACGGTAGTACCTTCTTTTCATATTTTATGATTTTTCGTTTGTGATGTTTTTCTAAACGTTTTTGTTGCGGTTGTTGTATTATTGCATCACTCAAGTTGTTATTGTTTAAGGTTTGCTCATGCGCAGCCGACGAACAGACGGTAGAGCGATGCAAAGTCTTCCAGGAGGATCGGGCTGCAACCCCACATCACATCACATAAAAATTGTATATATATCTTGGACTTTTGACAGCATGGAATTTTGCCCGTCAGGCACTTGCATCTCTCTCTCACGTAATAGAAATGAAAACAGTTGACCTATATTCATATTCAAGCAATTCTCTCTGCTATTTAGCGCAATAGAATAAGCCATTTTTGTAATAGTACAAATAAGTATGTTTTTCTTTGATAATAAACATTTTTAATTAAAGTAAAATTTGAAGTATGTATTAAATAAGAAACATTATTAAGAAAACATATTTTAAAAACATGCCTATATTAATTAAGATGATACAAATGAAATTTATTAAAAGAAACAAACTAAAACCGTTGAATGTCCATATTCTCAACATAGTTCGTCAAATTCCTTTTTGCATAATAATAAAATTATTTTATATTCTTCAATTTTTCATATATATATATATATATTTATATATACTAAATTGAACTGCTCCTCAATACACTAAACAAGAAACATTAAATTCTGTCTAGGAAATAAAAAATAATGCGTTTAGAGGCGCCATAAGGTGATATTGGTAATCTAGACCCTGTCAAATTGCAGTGATCATATTCCTCGTTTGAAGAATACTTCAAGTGGATTTCAGTAGAGAATGTATTTTAAAATTTTGAGTTAAATTATTTAACGGTTTGATCCTAGAAAATACAAATATCTGAGTACTTTTGCAAGATTTGTGGATTTGGAGATTTCGAGGGTTCTAGTATTTTGTCCTTTTTAATGAAAAGAGTAATTTTTAATTGTTGGTAAACTTGAGTGATGCAATAATACAAATATCACGACAGCTACTAAGTGCAATGATAGGATACTATATCACTTTCTTCGTTAGCAACTTCACTCAAGGGGCTCACCAGCGGCCGAGCGGTAAAGTCGCTGAACACTGGTAGTTCGGTCCGAGGTTCGAATCCCGCGAACGGGCTGGCTGCATGGGTGTTTTCGTGGTTTTTCCCAAGTGTAACGTGTATACGAGCCAGTTTCCCTTAGAAAGTTCTCCATGAAGGCATCCCTCCCCTTAGGCAGATAGCCCTAGTGTGCTTTGCCATAATTAAGTACACACACACAAACTTCACTCAAGGGAGATGTGAGACTCTTCTTACGATCAGCAGTTTTCACTATATCTTACCCTATCAGTGAGCTTATTTTGAAGGATTTATCCCAGAGAGCTATATTTCTTCGAAGGATATCACCACATTGTCTGCTCTTCCCCATGTATTAAAACATTTAATTTTACCTAAACTAAACAGTTTTTTCCTAATTTTATTCTTACAAGGAATGTCTATATCTAGACTCGTCACAGAAAAGCGTGCGATTGCCCGAAAGGTTGAACTTATGCTTGTTGGTCTACGGAAGGCATTTATATCCCTTCTACCACCCAAAAGAAAAACCAGTGAAGGCATTCTCCTATCCGTCACCTGGGGATGCGCTGTCTAGGGTTTACAGGCTGCCCCGAGCAACACTCATTCCAATAAGGCACCAGCTCCATAACACCAATGGTCTACTTATAACTAAAACCATAGTCAGACTTAGAACTGGCCATCACAGAGGATTAAGATTGACAGAAAGGGTAGGAAAACCTATAGAAACTGCGATGACTGACCGGATACAGAACTGACAACTGCACACATTTTTGATTATCCAGCCATCCTTGCTTGAATTGCTAAAAATCGGGGTCTTGTTTAAGAGACCGAACCTCTGCGATGATAACATTTTTCAGATTTGCCGTCATTTTCGCCCATGGCACAATTTGAATACGCTTTTCCATAGGCTCGACAACAACAAAAACAATAAGGATGGTCTTCTAACCTCTTAATGTTTCTGGATGAAAATGAATATAAATGTAAATCTACCTATTTAGAAATACATAACAATAAAAGAATTAGCTGCTAATATTCTATAGGTAAACATTGAAAAGGTGTAAACACATAATAAGATTTGCCGAAACAGCGCTATTTAGCAACTTTCAAAATTTTTATATTGATGTTTTAAAAATTTCATATTCCTGAATGTAGGAATTTGAAATAGTATCCAGACTACACTGCATTTTTATACCTCTAAATACAGACGAGTTTTCGAAAAAAAAAGTTTCTTTAATCCTTATACCTGCTAATAAGTTTGACAGGTAATTAAATAAAGTCACATGCAGCTTAAAAATAATAAATATTTAAAATAATGCATAATGTTACATAAATATTTCTATAATGTTACATAAATATTTCTATAATGTAACATAAATAAAGTTTAAGGAATTTCGTTATAATAAACTTCAATGCTTAGCAAAGGGAAACTCTGTGCTAATATTTTTTGACCCAATGCTATCGGAACAAAAGAGTTCTTGAAGTACAAACGAATCTGAGAACAAATTTGCCCTGGGTAACTAAAAACGTTTAATTTGTTTATTTTGAACTCTTTACAGGAACTCAGCCGTCAAATTTAACACAGAGCTTTTTTTCTGAAGCCTTCATAATCAACTGTATTTCCCGCCTCCAAATCCGTTTAAAGTTCACGCAAGTGCAGATTGCCATTTTGCTGAGAAAGTGAGAAAGTGGTTTGGATGAAACATTAAAATTACTGGAAATAATTTAGTACATAAAATAGCTACAAATGTTTTTTCTCATTTGAAAATATAATGCTAAAAAATTTGACTGTTAAATCAGCATGAAAAGGAAACAATAAAAAGTAAATGCAACTATGGCTATTCATTGCTGTTTCGGAAAATTTAATTTTTGTCAGAAAAGAAAAATTTACTATTTGAACTTGTGAGAAGAGTAAAACTGAAAACCGAAAGAATTCACTTCTTCTAGATCAAATAAACGATATCTCATTTTTTATCTTATGCATTTCCTGAATACGAATTCTGTTAAAAGTAGTAATAAGCTATTGCAATCTCACTAATAGCAGCAATTTTGCAAATTGAATTTAGATTACATGCATATTGTGAGGGTATTTGTAAATCTAATCAAATTAAACGACTACCGAAACGTGAGTTAACAAAATGAAAATTATTATTGATATAGCGTAGGGATATATGAGATGTATACGAAAATTTACAGAGATTATAAAGACATATAGGAGAAAATTATAAAATTTTAAATTTATTTTACACCTTTCAAAGAAATAAAGCAGTGCTTGTTTTGAATATAGTCTTTTAATGTAAAATATAGATCTAATATATTGGCTTGTAATAACAGTGGGAAAAGGTAAGCAACAGGGGAAAATTACAATAATGAATTTATTAAGTTAACGGAGAAGTATATAAAAACACTATGCTTGTTGAAATAAGTAAAATGAAACATTCCCCATATAATATGTAATATAATCTAACATTTAAATGAATATGCTTGGTACTTACGTGTTATCGCAACCACCTTGGTAAAATTCACTAAATTTTCTGACTGCGACAAATTCTGGCAACCATGCGCATAACAATCCGTGCTCGCAACAAGCAACTTCGCCATTTTTCGCACGTGTTCTTTATGTCGTATTCCAAGTTTCAACGGTTTTTATAAATGAATCGTGATACTTTTTGCCTTAAACTTGATTTTAAAATATGCGCTTATAGAATTTGCCAGCAAAGGAAAAAACTTCGGTAAAATTTCTACAGGTATATAGAATTTTGCCGCTAAATATCTAAAGGTAACAGCGAGGAGATGCGTTTGAAAGACAGCTTGTTTGCGCGGTACCAATGCTCTGGAATTCTCTGATGCTTTTAAGCGAAACTAGATCGCTATGTACTCAGTTAAAAGAAGAACATAAAAACATTAAGGAAAGATTGAAAAAGAATGTAAGCGTTTTATTTTAATGTCTCATGTAATGCTTATTTAATAATTCATGTATATATTAAAATTACTAAAGTATTTTGTTATAGGGTGATAATGTTTATCGACTTTCGATAAATATCGATTGGACTTATTTGTTTGGGAACCTTTTTAGAAAAGGGCGCGAAAACCACCAACTTACAACTAATAAGGAACTTCTACATTTTCATGTGCAAAAAATCGCAAAACTGCGCCAAGTTTGTTGCGCTAATACGTAAGTACTACAAGCTTAATTAATTGCAGCTTATTATATTGCATGCAAATATCATACCTGCTTCCATACTTCCCTTTTCTATTGGCTGCCGAGTATCGGAGCTGAGAATACGATTGTTGTTACTATCAATAGAAGGCAGAGTTGGATTACCTAAAAAGTGTAGATAGCATTAAGTTTTGACACTTCTAAATTAAGTTTACCTTTCTAATTTAAACTGGAAAAAGAAAATTTATAATATATGATGCCAGAAATATCTTTCACTTATGACAGCAAAAACTGCAAACGTTCAGAATAATTTTTAGTTGGGTATGTTGAAAACTATATAAATTAATATACATTATAAAAATATAAATGAAAAATATTTATTATTTGTAAATCATCCATTTTTTTACGAATGAAAGTTGTCATTTCAAAGATAAAGGTGATAATGAAACATCATGTAGAGACATTAGGATTATTTCAGAAGCAGGCAAGAGGAAAAATTTGCAACCGCCTTCGCCGGGAATCGAACCACGGACCTCTGGAATGCCGGCGCAGCGTGCAGAACCACTACACCACGAAGGCACGCTAGTAAGGCGGGAGAAATACCTTATAATCAAATAAAAAATTCTGAAATATGGCTGTTTGTCAGGCGGGGTGAAAGATATGTTACATCTCATCTCATCTAAGCTTGTAAATGTTTGAATATTCCATATTCCACTAAGCTATCAAGCGAAAACTTTTCACTCAGTAATTAGAAAACGTTTTGTTGATGGTTGGATTATACACCATAAAAACAGTCGCATATTTCTAAATTAAGGATAAGGAAAAAAATAAAATATGCTTTTGATAATTGAAATTAGTAGTTGTATCTTTCAGATTTCTTGAATATATTACAATAAAACATGAAGTAATTATTAGAATGTCCTCATTTCATTTACTAGGTATTCATATTCATTTGTTAAGCTTATAACAATCACAATAAATAAACTGTTTTGAGTTAAATATCGGACATACAGATTTTCTATATATTTTCTCGTATAAGTCTAAACCTTTTCGCTTATATTTTCTACTCAAATTTGGGAGGGAGTATATAAATGAGTTCAAAGTGATTTACAAACTATTCATTTGCAAAAATTGTATTATAGATGAAACAGACGATATAGAATAGTTTTTTTTTATTATTATATGTATTAACGAAGTAGAATACTGTATTTAACTTTCGATTTTCAAACAATTTTCAAAAGTCTGTCTCGACTAAAGTAGAGTGAGATTTAGTCTTACCTTTATAGAGGTAAGTGCAAGTCATTGTTCTCTATATCGTGATTAGCATCATTGTCGTTCGTCTTTAAGTAATGCCATTTTTAACTAAGTGCTCAGAAAAACATATACCTTTTAACTTAAAACTATCAGAATGTGCAGTTCAATTTTATCTGGGCATCTTTGTTTATATATCAGAAAGGAAGCATGAGATACATTCCGATGACGTTACAGATCACGTGACTTGAATACAGCTAATGTAACCAATGTAGATAACCTCGGAGATCACATGACTTTTATACAGCTAATGGGAACAAACAAGATCATTCTTCCTCTTCTTCTCTTGCAGAATGTATCTCATTGTCTTTTTTTAATCATAAAAGCACAAGCACAATGAGAGTCCTTAATTCTTAATTTTCCTTAAAAATATATATGAATCTACTTATGAAGGAAAACATGATGATAAGGAATTAGATGCTAATATTCTAAGGAAATCGTAGAAGAAATTGATCAAATAAAGCATTTTGATCGCCAGTGGCGAAATTTTTATCGAAGTATACATACTTTTAAAATTTGTGAAAACTCCTACTACAGAGTTACATTATCAAATTTAATAAGAAATAAATTTTCAGTTTGTTATTTATATCCATTTAGCTCTTAATTCTTTTAATATTATGTATTTTTAAATAAGCTAAACAGTTGCAATTTTATCTTTACTCCATTTGTTTCCCAGTAATTTCAGTATTTTATCCAAAATGCTTCCTCTGGTTTTTAATAAAACTGCAGTCTGCACTTACTTAAATTTTAAAAAGGATCCAGGAAAAAAAAACATTATTTTCTGTACACTCAATTAAAAATACCTGAACCATTATATTACGCCTAAGAGGTCGTTTTCTTCATTTACACATGCATGCACGTTTCGAAGGCAATTGTCCTAACGCTCCTTTGTGCTAAAAATATTTAAAAAACAGCTTATCTTAAGAAATTCCGACAAACACTTAGGCACGTTGGAGATAAAAATACTTTATTCCCGACAGTGTTACCACTGCTCGCTTTGAAATCGTAGAGTATATTAACCAGAAATTCGTTCAAGTTTAAAAAAAATATGAAATACGTGATGAAACAAATTCGAAATTCATGATTCGGACTTCCAGGTACCCATTTCGGATGGAAGACTATGTTATTCAAAATTGATGGCTCTAAATATTATTGTTTTTCCGCAATGCGAGAAAAATTTACACATTCGTGAAGATTCTTCATTATGCAATTTCTTAAAATATAATACAGGTCGATAATATTTGGTGGCAAATTTTGAAGAGAGATACGGCGTTTATAGTGATTCTACGCAAAATGCGGTTTGAAGACTAATAGCTCTTCTGGGCTAACGCCCCTTTGGGCTGAAAAAATATGAAGTTGCTAAAATTAATTACTTTATTCCTGCCAGGAAAAAATACTATTTTTAGTCATCAAAGAAATATTTTCTCTCAGGATCCACACGATTTAAGAAATTTTCTCTTTCAATACCCTTTTGTCAAACAAATACTTGTATAAAATTTTGCTTTACCAATTGTTATAATTATCTATACTTCATTTATGCTGCCTTATAAATATTCACTCACATGCAAAAAGGTTAATTTTTTTTACAAATAGTTCTATTTTTGCAAGCTGAAAATAACTTTAAATAACCTGCAGGCAAGTTGATTACTGAAGCCTAAGATTAGACAGGCATTGACTCAGACTTTAAATTGTAAAATGCGTAATAAAGTACACATAATGGGGTAGGGGTTTTGTTTCAAGGTTACACAGCCAAGGATTTGAAATTAACAGAATCTAAGCAAGAGAAAATTAAACTGAAAAATCCGATTTCTTAAATTAAAAATATATATATATATATATATGACTTAAAAAGTAAAATTTTAGTGTATAGAGCAACCGAAAAAGATCTCTGTCTCATCAGTTGAAGAGACTTACTTCGATAACTCGTTTTAAAGTGAACTGAGAGCTATTTCATAAAATTATGAATCTGGGAAAAATAGCCTTTAATTAAGACAAAATAAATTCAAGTGGCTGAACATTTCCAGCATTCATATTACTGATATAAAAGTTTCATATATCTGGTAATTGCAAAAATAATTAAAAGAAACTGAGGGAGAAAACCATAAAACTATTTATTATTTTAACCATACCGTGCTATCAACGTTTAGCGACATTACCGCTCAACCTCTGGTGCCTTGAATTCCTGAAGTTTGGAATTCGATTCAGTTCCCTGCTAGCAGTTGGGATAAAACAGTTGCCTGCTCTTATTATTAAAAAATTACCTTATCTGTACGATACATTAAATTCTTAATCAACCTAAATAGTATGTCCTGCTGTAATGCTCTTAAATGACTACCATATGACATACTTTTCTACTATAAGTCACACAATTTTTCAGAATGTTTTCCATTTGGGCCTAATTTTTCAAAGATCAGATTTTGTAAGCAGAGTAAAATCCCGTGATTATTTGAGAATGACTACAACATACGAGAAACAAACAGAATTGGCTACGCTGTTGCCAAAGAATCAAATAATGTACATAGTGAAAGGTTGAACGAATTCAAGTGCAAAAATTGTGGCACCAAATAATTCTGCAGTGATTATTCCTCCATTTTCGAATGGAAGTGAGGGTGAATTAGACTCACCTTCAGCTCGACTGACAAATATAGCTAAGCTATAACAACTTAACTTTATCTATATTATTCGCACAGTTGACAATATATGACTGGATTTATGCAGCGACCGCTTTCGTTATATATTTTAAATTTTGATTGAATTTTTGCTCTAAAATTTACCGCTTTATTACACAGATCAGCTTACATTCGGAAATGTACGGTAATGACATTGTCTTTCTACACAGAAAATTGTATATGATACCTCCAAAACTTTGAAGCTCTGAAGTGTTTTCTCCGTTTTGCAGCTTTTTCGATTTCATAACTGGTGAAACTTGATGTGAGTTAATGTCTGCCGTAGTAGGTGGTGGAATTTCTGTGAAAGATACAATTCTATTTTAAGTTAAAATAATATTTATGTAAAGAATAATGGAAATAGTATTACATAAACATGAAATTTAACAACAGATTTTTATAAAATTACACTTACATAGGAAATAAATGCCATGTGCAAAAGAGGCGAATTACATATAGGCAAATGATATCTGTTACGTACAAGGAAATAAAATTTTATATTAATACTGCTTTTTAATATAAGTTTTTAAACAGGTTATATTAAATCGCGTTGAGATATAAAATATCTTCTTTAATATTCAGTACCCTCGGCCAGAAAATTTACTCATGTTCAAGCTATATTATTTGTAAACAGAGACTATGTACTTTTTATACCATAAAAAGCGGCGTACTAAGTTGGAGTTATCTAATTAGGACGAAATTAGGTAAGCACCGTACCTTAGGATAGAATATGCATATAAAAACCTTTTGGCGTCCAAACACTGACTAGTTGAAGCTCCAGTGCATTGCAAAGGAGCATCAGCATCGTGTATAAAACAGACGGTATTGTACTGTTAAGGCATACTTTTCCAGCGCCTATCTGGAATTTCTCCCTTAGTGTTACAAATAGCACCAGATGAATGATGATTCCAGCTGCTTGAGAGACAAAGCGCCTTTCTCTTCTTTTCAACATTCAAGACGTCTTACATAGGATATATTTCACGTATCATTCCTTCTCCGGTTCCGTAAGAGTTCTGTAATTGCTCTGGGAAGTACTGCGTTAGGTAGCAGAGCCTCAGAATAACACTACATTATCGCTAAGGCACAACTCCCGCCGAATGTGGTTTGTTTGACCCCCGTTGGACTGTACCAATGCCTCGCAGACGGGTTTGCGAACAGTGAGAGCAGATGTCATCATCTGAGAGAAGACATATTATTAGATTAAAGAAAGCCGGGTGGTCAGATTGCAAGATGGCTAGATATTTGGATCGGAGCGATGCTACTGTAATGCATTTTGCAGTAATTTACAAACAGACAATCTTCTTAGTAGAACATAAATTTTATTTATAGTTCACGGTGATAGACAAATTTTATACAATTCTTAAGTGGCAAAATTTTTATACTACTCCTAGCTGGCAAAATCTTCAGAATCTTACCTTTTAAAACAATATCTCACGTTTCTGACTTTTTAATACAAATATGGCGTTGCCGCTTCAACAATAATTATATTTATTTATTAAATAACAGATATTACAATCTCTCCCCCCTCCAGATAAACTTTATTTATTTTTTTATAATAATTTATTTTTATAAACTTTAATTTATTTTTTTATAATTTATTATTTTTATAAATAAAATTTACGTTTTTTTTTTCTTTCAAAAACAAGAATATCAGCACAATACAGAATTGAAATACAAGATATAACATAATAACATACACTGAGGAAGAGAGGAAGGAACAAAATATTTTTTTTTATCTATATAGAGAAACAAATTATTTAATTAGGCCAGGGAGTACGACTTAACGCGTCTACATTTTTATGGTTTTTATCACTTCGATGAACGATCGTGTAATTGTAGGGTTGTAGTACTAGTGCCCATCTCATAAGTCATGGATTTAAACTCACATTATTTTTTAGCCAAACTAAGGGATTATGATCGGTCATGATGAAGAATTTAGTATGCCCGTCTAAATAACATTGAAGTTTCTTTACAGCAAATATTATGGCGGCGCATTCCTTTTTTTACAGCAACTGTACTTTTTACAGCAACTATGTAGAGTACAGCAACTAGAATACTTTTTTTCAGTTTCTGTAAACTTCTTACTGAGGTATAATACTGGATGTTCATTGTCTCGTTTCACCTTTTTGAGCTAAAATGACACCGCATACCAGAGAGTTTGAAAGCATCAGTTTGCAAAATAAACTCCTTATTGAAATCAGGTGCATGTCGTATAGGCCTTTGAGACAGTTTCTCCTTTAGCTCTTCAAATGCTTTTGTGCGCTCTTCTGACCAATTTATTTTCCCTTTAAGTTTCCTTTCAAAGTTTCTGTTAAAGGTGCTGCGATAGATGAGAACATGGGAATGTAATTATTATAATATCCCGCTAATCCTAAAAATGCTTTGACTTGATTTTTTGTGGATGGCACTGGAAAATCAAGAATAGCTTTTACTTTCACTTCACTTGGCATTCTTTTACCACGACCTACAATATGTCCTAGATATTTTACTCTATCTTGAGCAAATTTACATTTTATTGGTTTAATAGTTAAACCAGCGTCCTTTATTTTGGACAAAACGGCTTTCAGGTGACTTACATGTTCTTCCCAGGTGTTTGAAAAGATTGCCACGTCATCTAAATATGGAACAGCAAAGTTTTCACAACCGTGAAGGATTTCGGCCATCATTTTACTAAATGAAAATGGTGCATTTTTAAGTCCGAAAGGCATCCGTAGAGGTCTAAATGTGCCAAAACGTGTAAGAAATTTGGCTAATATTTGAGCATTAGGTGTTAAAGGTTATTTGCCAGTATCCCTTTGTTAAATCCAAAAGAGTTATATATTTTGCGCCTGCTATCGTTTCTACTCGTTGTTCGATGTTAGGCAAGGGGAAGAATTGTGTTTTAGTCAATTTATTCAATTTTTTATAGTCGATACAAGGTCTTGGATACCTCCCTGCTACTTCTACTAAAATCATAGGAGAAGTGTAATCTGAATCTCCTATTTCAATTATTTTACGCTGAAGCATTTTATCGTTTTCTGTTTTTAATATATCCGTTTGTCTAGGAGGCATTCGGTATGGTTTACAGTGGATTGGGGTGATTTCTGTCAATTGAATATCATGCGTTATTAAATGAGTTTTTCCAGGTTTATTAGAAAAGATTTTTGAAAACTTCAGCAGCATATCATGCAATTCTTGAATCTGTTGTTCATTTAGCTTATCACTTAGGGAACTGTTTTCTTTAATGTCCTCAAAATCGAACAATGTTGGTTCAGAGTCAATTGTTGGGAAATTTTCCTCCATATCCTCAATTTCAGATTGATCTTCTGTAATCATAAGGTTAACCGATTCTGCTCGCCTACGATAAGGTTTTAGCATGTTAACATGGTAGACTTGGTTAAAGTCATTTTCCCTTCGAAACTCACAAAATAATTAGTTTCGAATAATTTCTTCTCAACCTTCCCAGGACCTTTCCATTCAACTGCTAGTCTGTTTGGTTTATTCGTTGATACAACTAATACTAAATCTCCTTCAGAGAATTCTCTTTTGATAGCTTTACGATCGTACCACACTTTTCTTTTGGTTTGCATTTCCAGCATTTTATCTGTAGCCAGCTCTTTGTATCTTTTTAACCGATTTATTAATTGAAAAATGTATTCAACAACATTATTTCCTTCGTCTTCAGGATTCATCCATTGTTCATCTAATAATGTTACAGGTGTTCTAAGATTTCGACCAAATACTAATTTTGCAGGTGCAAAGCCCGTACTCTCGTGCGTTATTGTTCTTAAAGCAAATAGAGCTGCGGGAACTTGCTTCTCCCACTCAGGGGCTGCTTCGATATATAAAACGTTTAAAATTCGTTTAATTGTTCGGTGAAATCTTTCAACAGGGTTGCTCTGCGGATGGTGTACTGAGCTTCTAGTTACTTTTATTCCAAATTTTTCTACAAATTCAATGGCTAGATTGCTCATAAAGAAGGTACCTTGATCAGTTTGTATTTCTTTCGGGAAACCCATTCTACTAAATATTTGTAACATGGCTTCAATTACTGACGTTGTGCAAATATTAGGAACAGGTACAGCATCCGGATATTTTGAAGCTAAACAAATAGCTGTAATTAAATATCTATTGCCATTCGGTGTTATTGGTAAAGGACCGCATGCGTCAAAGTTAATTTTTGAAAATACTTCTGAAATAATTGGTACTAAAGTCAAAGGTGCTTTGGCTTTATCATTAGATTTTCCCACTCTTTGACATGGATCGCAAGTTTTAACATACTCTTCTATTTCTTTATAGCAATTAGGCCAGTAAAAGTATCTTGTTAATCTATCTTTAGTTTTGACGACGCCTAAATGTCCAGATGTGCTATCATGACATAATGACTTTATTTGATCCCTATATTTTTCAGGAATAACAATTAATTCCCTTTCATTTCCACATTTTTATCTATTTTTCCTTTTCACCAACAATCCGTTTTCCTTTTACTTTTGAAATCATATGTCTTGCTGGAATTTTCATTTTTAGCTTCGTTTAAGCAAGTGACGCTAGATCTCTGCTTTGATGCTGAGATTCAATTAATTCCTTTGAATTAACATTAATCACTTTCTTAATTTTTTTCCTTGTCTTCCTCATCAGCTGGGCGGTAAAATATCTTCGTCAGTGTCAATAAACGTCAGTTCCTCTATTTCTAGTTCCTCCATTTCTGTTTCTCTAGTTCGATCTTCTTCACGAGATCTTTTTACCTGAGATCGTGTCAAAACTGCTTTTATTTTTTTTAAATTTAAGAATGATTTATTTTTGAACAATTGGGCAGTTTTGTTACCCAATACATATCTGCCTGGAGCATTTGTAACAACAGCTGCCTTTGTCTTTATATGACCAAGTTCGCAATTAATTTCAACTTCCGCTAACGGTAGACACACTAAATGGTCATTTAAAAAATATTGTACCCAGACATGTTCTCCAGTCATTTTTGCGTTATCTATGTATTTCCGAGTAATAACATCAACAGTGGCTCCTGTGTCTCGAAAGAATAGGCATTTTCATACCCATTAACTAAACCGTTAATTGTATATGTCTCTAACAAATCATCATTCGAAGATACGCAATTTTACTTTTTCATTTGGTTTTAAGCGAAGGACACTGAGGCTTAAAATGTTCGTATGATCCACACTCGAAACAACGTGGTCGATATCTTTTTGTCATATAAATTTTCTTGGTTCTTGTTTTGGAAATTGACTTCTTTGTGGGTGATCTTTCTTGGTATTTTGAATCATCCCATCTATCAGAATGCTTTAAAAGAGGCGGATGCTCTATTTT